GCCCAAATTGCAATCTCACATTTGATCTCCTTTCAGAACTGAAAGCCAAATTCTCAATAATGGGAGTCTCTGTAATCAAAACAGGTGAGAGTTTCAAAGATGATTTGCCTCAAACGAGAAGAAAACAAAGAAAGGCCAGCCCATTTATTGAAAGGAAGAATGCACCACTAGCTACATTCTGATTTTATTTAATAGACAGGGCATCAATGTGGCTAACAAAGCAGCTCACTGTATACACACATTGAGATTTATCAGCTGCACAAACCCCAAAAAGCATGGTTTAAAATGCTAAAATGTTTTATTATTTATAAATAATAAAATATATATTCCAAAACAGCTAAAACAAGAGGCTCCCATGTAAGCCAACCTCCAGAATGCTTTGTCTAATTGAGAGCTACTATTGATACCAACCTGGTAGGTTAAACCAGCAATAAAACCCCAAAAGCACCTGCCAGTCTCACCCACCCTCCCCTGATACTAAGGTCACAATGCAGAACAAAGTCTCCAGGAGCTTCAGAAGATGTAGGATAAATAAATCTCATGTAAGTACAGGAGTTGGGTATGGCAAATGACACAAATAAATATATTTACACATTTTAGATTTAATGTACATTGAATGTACGGGCAATGATATCCATTACAATGCCATCTCAATATTAAATTAGAAAATAAGTCTGTGTTTCCTAAGGAACTCTGCCAGTACAGCATCTGCAAACCAGTACACTAAAAGAAATTGATGTCCGTCTTCTTACATTGCTGGAAGGGGACTTCAGGTTAGCTGAAGTGGTAAAACTCCAAGGTTTCCTTACAAGGCCTACAAGTCATATTATTGCAGAATAATTCTAAAAAAGCATTATCTTTAATAGGCTCTACCAAACAGCCTCAACAAAACAGGTGTGCAAAATGTTTTCCAGGTCATTTTCTGTGATAATCAGAATGTGCAAGAAAAAACAAAGTCCCAAAATCTTTAAAAATAGTGCTGCACCTCAGTAAGCTTTGAGCTGCTAAAATGGCAATCAGTGACAGAATTTAACTATAACTCTCGGATGTATCAGCTGAGAAATTTGATAGGATGACCAACATAGAGAAGTCACGGGAATACTCCATATTTAAAATTAGTTTCCAGAGTTCCACATCTCTCCAAATACAGAAGATTAATTATGTCCTAAGATATGAATGTTTCCTCTGCAGAATTCCAAAAGGCTTACAATAGGAATAATTAAAATCCTTTGCTAAGGAGATGAGTTTCAGCATTTTCATATAAACTGCTCTTACCAGCACATTAAGAAATCGTAAACCAGAATTTCTAAGGGCTGCCAAATACAGAAATTAATAGACCTTGTGACACAGTCCATCCAAGTTGAGAGACACCCTCCAGACAAAAAGACACTCGAGATGTTTCAGCAGGTAGCCAGCTTGGGCTGGCAGACAGCCAGAAGGGCATTAGCAGTGAGTGCACTGCAGAAGGTGTGTGTGCTGAGCAGCCCAGTTCTGGGCAGAACATTTACAGACTGCAGCCCCCCACAGACACACGGAGCAGGGCTAAGTCCGGCCGGGCCCAGCACACAGCCGGGCTGCCTGCAGCAGGCTCGGGCTGAGCAAGGCATGAGCTCCACACAGCCCTCCACCAGCAGCAGCCTGGGCACCGCCACACTGAGCTCCAGCTCATGGGGCTGCTGCAGTCCCAAGGGCTCCGTGCTTCGCCATAAACGGGCATTCCATGGAAAAAGGGGCAGCAGAAATAGTGGACGTCTTACTATGGCATAGCAAACCAGCAGTGAAGCAATTCTGAGACAGACTGCCCACCCCCCAGCATAAACCTCCAACCAGATCCCTCTAGCTAAACTAGCAATATCTAATGTGCAGGGTTTTGGAAAAAAAATAAGATTAACAGGTAACAGCAGTTTAAACAGCTGCTTTAAAAGATAACAGCTGTTTAAAAAGATAACAAGCAAAAGGTACACTTGAAAACGGCACAATAAACTTGTACTACATGTACACATCCATGGATTAAGACCAACTGCAAGTCTAACACCGTAACGGAGAGGCGGCAGTTTCACATCTGGGAATGCCTGGAGCTACCGTAGCTACGCTCAACCTCAAATGAGGAGTTTCCACCTTCTAAAATTACCCGGCTGACGACGGGAAGGCGCCCCCAAGGCAGCAGCAGGGAACGGCTGTCTCGCTTATGGCCCAATGCCCTCGTTTTCACGGGAAAAGGATGAGGGCAGAGCCCGGTATACGTGCCCGGCCGCTGCCTTTGCCCTGGGCAGGCACGGACAGCGGGCGGACAGCGGCGGGGCGAGTCCCGTCCCGGTGCTGCGGCTGGCAGCAGCTGGGGCCGGGAGGCCAGACCTGCTCCCGCGGAGCTCCGGCGGACTGAGGGCCCTGCCAGGCCGGGCTGCCGCAGGACAGACCGCCGCCTATCCCCGGGGTCGGCAGGCACCGGCGCCCCCTCCTTCCCCGCCGGGACTGGGCCGGGGATCCCTCCGCGTCACGAAAAACCGCCGCCGGTCGCGGTCCCGCTTACGGAGCAGCCACGGCGGCAGCGCGGGCACTCACCGGGAGCGCGGCGCGAGGCCCGCGGCGGAGCCGTGCCCAGCCCAGCCCGCCAGGGCAAGGCCGCCCAGCGAGACTCCGCCGGATCGCGAGGAGCCGCGGCCGCCGCCGACCAGGCAAACGTCAGCACTGGCCGTCACCCCACAGGCCCCCGTTGGCTTCCGTTTCCGGGACGTGCGAGGGACCGCTGCGTCGTTAAGGTGGCACCGTGTAAACGTCTACCCGGCACCCGGCTCAGCACAGGCGAGAATTGTGCAGCACCGCCTTAAGGCGGGGAGAGAGGGGTTGCTGTGGGCGGGGCAGGGAGGGCGAAGCTCCTCCCCCCGCGGCGGCGCCTCAGCGGGGGCGGGGCCGGGCGCAGAGCCAAGCGGCAGCGCGAGCACACGCCAGGAGAGGGCGCCGAAGGGCGGGGCCGAGCATGCGCACAGGGCCCCTTCCGGTCGGTGTCGCCCTCCCGCATGCGCACGTGCGGGTGGGTGGGCGCGCGGAGGGAGGGCTCCTCCCGCGGCGCGCACGTGCGTGAGGCGGCGCGCACGTCGGGCCCAGGGCGCCGTGCGGCTGCCAGGGCCGGGGGAGGGGGGAGCGGACCCTGGGCGGGGGGCAGCGTGCCCGGGCCGGGGCACCGCCCCCTTCCGGCGGACACCGGCCCGACGCCTCGGCTGGAGCCGAGCCCTGCCCGGCTCCGATCGGGGCCGGCCGCGCCCGCCCGTCCGTCCGGGGGCACTCGGGCCGTGCGCGGGTGCCGTGCCGGGAGCGCGCGGTGTCGGGGCGCGGGCGCGCCCGGCAGCAGCGCAGCAGGACGGGCTGCGGGGTGACCCTCAAAGGCAGCACAGGTCGTGCGGAGCCAGGCTGCTCCTGCCGCGCCGAGACGGCTCTGGGTCTTAGGCTTGTCTTGTGCAGCTTCACACGTGTTCACAGCCGCCCTTCAGAAGTTTGGAAATAGCGGTTTGAGCTCATTTACAAACGCTGCTTTCCGCACTCGATGTCACCTTAAGTTAACATAGCTTTCTGTTTACTCCCTCGTTTATGCCTGGATGTAATTTCATCAGCGTGCTACAGTCAAACATTTTGTGGCAGATGAAGAAAGGAAATGTGGGTCAGTGCAGAAGCTGTAAATTTGCAACTGAACCCAAAGGATGACACGGAAAACTTCAACACCGGCAGTGCGTTAAAGCTGTAGTCACATAGTGCTATGCTGAATAAAGTCTAAACGCTGCTTAGTCTCAGGGGGCATGTGCATTTTCCCATTGCAGATAGGAATCTGGAAGACCCCCTCCAATTTTGTGACTCAGTCTCAAGCATCTAGTATGAGTGTGTCCTGTTTATTAATGATTGTCTCCTGGGATGGTAAACCTACCCTGATGATTGTGTGTTAGCAGAAATTCATCATATGATACAGTACTTCCCCAAGTAATGCCCTGCTTTGCTTGGGTTGTGCTTCTTGTTTGGGTCTTTGCTCCAGCATGTCCCCTTTAGGGTGAAAACAACTTCCTAAGCCAACACACAGGGACTGTCACACAAAAGCCAGCTCTGACACCAAGGAGTTGTCCAGCTGTCTAGGTACTTGGAGCTGCAAACTCACTCACTGTTGCCCTGTGGTTTGTGGCTCCCACAGTCACTCAGATGGAGAGGCAGGACAGATCTTTCCCAGGTGGAGCAGGCCCTCTGTTGGATTTATGGGAAGAGAACCAGCTGGGAGCAGCCTTTACTGTCTGTGACAGGCATGCAGCCCTCCCACCCAAATGGGCTCTTTCCTAGGAGAGGCATTGCCAAATGTTCCAGGGCATCTGGGAGTCAGTCTTCATGACTAGAGCACAGACAGGCCTCCCTAGGACTTGAAGGCTGAATTTTGATGGAAGTAGTTCGTGTTAATTGCAATTAAACGTTCTTATTTTTCTGTGTGTGTATGTACACATACTTATGTGTATGTATATGTCTACACATGCACATATCTGCCTATGTGTATGGGCATAATGCTAGAGCTATAAGCTCTGCTTATATCTTGCTTATATCTGCTATAAGCAATTCTGCATCCTTCCATTTTTGAGGTCTTGTCTGGACACTTCCTAAACAGTGCTTGGGTTACTGTAAATAATCTTGTTAGAAGTGGTTTTCTTCTCTCCCATATGCTCTAATATATAAAAATCTCATTGAATTTCACATGCAGTCATTCATATTGATTATTCACTTAACACAAATCATTCAGCTCCTACACACTGTATTGGTTTGTGTGGTGTGCATATATAGCTTTCTCAGCTTCCTGACCCCTTTACAAATATAGTAAAGCACATGGGAGCTTAGTAGTGAAACTTGAAAATGCTGAACTGTTTCAGTTAGGAAACTAATACTTACTATTTTCTCTGTTTCAATTCTATGATCATGTTTTACTTCTGCCATAGGAATTTTTAGCCAGTGTTTTAGCATAGTTTATGTAGACTCCAAAATCCTATGTCAGTGAATAAATTTTATTTTTTTTTATGCTACAACTTCCAAAACTTACCATGGATGGTTTCTGTGAAAGATAATATGCTATGGTCACTAGCCTTTATTATGATCTCTCAAATATTTTTTCTGAGTTTTAATGATTCAGCTTTTTGCCTAGGTCTTTCAGTGAAAGGATACATATATTCTTGCCTCATATTTGCTCTTCATAATTAACATACAACCTAAAGAGTAGATTAGGTTCCAAATCTTGAACTACTTTGTGTGTGTTGTACATCTGAGCAATCTGTGTCCTTCTATTTTTATACTGTTTGCATAAATAGTGATTGCTGCTGCTTCACTATGTGCAACATCTTTAAACATAATTAGCTTTACAGTTGCCATTCAATGGCTTTTCAGCTCATATGCTGCTGATCAGGGAACAGAGTGGACAGGGCAATCAGGATCAAGCAGCTGAAGTAATGAATATAATTTCATTTCTGTAGTCTAATTGTCAGGCCATCTTCAGAATCTTTTTTGGTTTAGGATTCTTTGCTTACAGGCTTGTGCTCTGATAATATTTTTGCTAATTTTCTCTTTCAAAAATGCTCCTTGTTAATATCCTGACTGGATGCTATTAATTAATATTCTGAGAAATCAAGTTGTACTTTAGTCATCTGCATCCTTGGCATTTGCTTACATTTTGTGATTGTATTTTGTGAAGTGCTGATGCAGTATAGAACTATAGGCAACCATATTTGTTCCAAGGTGTGTCATTTAGAATGTATGACTTAGGCTAATCTTATTTCCCTGATTGCCACATTTGTGGAGACATTTAGAGCCTGTAGAATTTGGCCTCATGCTAATGCTTGTAAAAGTTGCCAGTGGAAAAATATCAATGTTTACACAGTTCTTTTGCTCTCTCAAGGTCCTGCAGTTTCCCTCTCTAACATACATATATGTTTACATGTAGATATATGATAAAAGAGTGGAAATGAGAAAGCTTTATGCCTATGTGTAAAAACTTTTAATTGTTAAATAATCAAGATATGTTTCACTGCCTCTTTGGGTCATTAACCTGTTTCTGTTTTTCTAATCTCTTTTGTCTGAATGGCTATGTCCTGCTTTATTTCTTTCACCCTGATGAGTACAGGACTAGAGTACCAGATCAGTATCTGTACCTTACTGGTTTTATTTTCTTGCAGCATTGGACAGTAAGTGAGCAGAGGCATTTGTCCTGCAGGTCGCATTTCTTTAGTTTTTTTGCATTTTCCTCAGAGATGCAAATATCTTCTGTGATGTGGCTTTTTTTTTTCTTTTTCCCTCAGAATTGTTGCATTTGAATAATTATACTGCCCATTTTAATTAACTAGATAGTCCTGTGATAATTAATAGTGCTTGGGCTGAGGATAATGAGGAACTGGTAGAGGTTTCTGCTGCTGTACCCTGAGTAGGGAATGTGGTGTTCTCTCTGTGCATAAGGAAGACTGTTTCATGTGAGACGTAAAAATATACCAGATCTTTGTGCCACACAGAAATAAAAGCCTGGTATTTGGTGATACACATGTAGGAAGGAAACAAATGTCTGATGAACAAAAGGGAAAAAAAAAAAAAGTGGTGGGGATGGGGAGATAATATTCGGAATGAAAACTAGGATAGGATAAATGGAAACCAAAATGGTATCCCCACAGACAAAACTTTTTCTGTGGGCTGTCAGTTCTCTGCCTTCTCCTCCTGTATCCCATTCCTGTTTCTGTCAAGATGTTGAGCTTATACTTTTACCTCCAGCTGAGGAGAACTGGGCATGATTCCAGCGTTAGCTGGAGTCAGGCTTTTTCCTTCTTCACACCTCTCTCTGAATTAAAGTGTACATGCATCCTTAGAGTAAAGTCCTGAATAAAGTGGTTGACCTTTAGGATTAGTGTTGTTGCAAAGACAGCCTTAGCTATTACTGTAACTTAGTTGGTGTTTTCTGACTCACACACTGAAGGCATGAAATGTTATTGACAAACTTCCATGGAAGATACAAATTGATTTATAGTAAAGTGACTTATTTTAACTAAAGTGAAGTCTTACATATTTTGAACTGAAAGAACATTGTCCATGTTCTCACTCCAATGATTTTTGACTAACCTTACTTGGTAATTACGGGAATGTAAGTGAATGAAAGATTCTATTTGTTTTTTCTATTTTTTTTTCTTTTCTTATGAATGTGGGGTTTTCCGTATTGAGAATTTTAGAAATTCCGAATATTTATGTGTGATGGAAGACGTTACTGTTTTAAAGCAGCTGCTTAGCAACACTGCTTGGCTGTTTCACAATCAGCCAGCTCTTCCCACACACTGCAGTGAGATGTACGTCATTTCACGGTGACTTGCATTCCAGCTTTTCTTTTGAGTTTGTCTTAGATCTTAAAGAAAATTAAATAGCAAGAGTTGGAAAAAAGAACAGGAACCTTTGGTGTCTTAACTTTTTAATAATCAGATGATTAATGCTTTAATATCCTTTTGCAATAACCATGTTCCAGAAGTTGCAGCTAAGAAAACCTGGGTGAAGCCCAAGAGCTAATTCAAACCACTTGGGAAACCCCCCTGACAATCCCCCTCAGCTGGGTCCCAGCATTTGATGTATAGCTGGGGCCATGTGAACCTCCACTGCCCAGATTTCTAACATTTTCAGTAGCAGAAAAGGCTGCATTTGGTAAGAATGGATGCTGGAGGAGATAACCAGTGAATTGACCAAGCTTTCTGTTTACATGAGCAGCAACACAGGAATCAGGGGAAGTAAATAGAGGAATCTGAATCTTGAGTTTGAGATTGAAGTCACCAAACCACTCTACCTACTGGCAACTACCGAATGCTTTTGCTGTATTTAGCACTTAAATGCAGATTACAAAGCCTGTCTCTCAGTCAATGTCAGTAAAGCACAGATAAGGTGATAAGACCCTTTTTGCTTCTTGTGTTCTATCATGGGGTCTAAGATTGAAATATTTTTCTGTCAGGGCTAAATCTTACTGTTATGATACTAACTTATAAATTTTTTTCAGTTCATGTAACCGTGTAATAAAACACTCTGACAAACCTTTTCCAATCTGTGCATTCCCTGAGAAACTTAAATATGAAGCTAAGATTTCAAAGTGATATACTGGTCTGAATTGCTGATTGTTCCTACATACTCAAAATATTCAATATCAAGAGTATCACTCAAAATAGCAATTGAATAATAATCATTGCAAATCTTCTAATTTAAGAATAAACAACATATAATTAAGTACAAATTATTTTTTTATGGATTCACTTGTACTGGGAGCAAACCAGCTTTTTAAGAGGTTGGTGTACAATTTAATCTTGTGACTTGAAAGTTGAGGGCAGTCAGTGCTGTAAATTCAGGCTTTTAACAGGCAGTGAGGGAGGAGTATCTGATAAAATCAACCTAACTGATTGTGGAGGATGTGCTGCTTTAGTACAGTGTTCTGCATACAGAGAAGAAACTTCTCATCATACTCTAGGAACAGACCAAGTGTGTCCAGCATGTTCTATCATGTGTTTTGTTATCTAGGAATTAGCATGTTCTCCAATAGGTAAAGTTATCAGATGATAATTTTCACAAGACAAGAAGGGGAAGTAGGATAAGAAAAAACTAGATTCTTTAAATGTTTCCTCTCAGTCTGCAGGTGAAACTAAAGTGGAATAAGTATCTTTAAAAAGGATGAAAATGTGGGTTTCTGTAATGTGACAAGTATAGTATGTGTTTTTGTGTTTGTGTGTATGTGAAAAAGTAATTTAGTACAAAGCTTCATATCCAAATCTGTAGAAGTGATTTATTCAACTGAAATATCCTTTCAGAAGAGATAAAAATAACATGGCATTTTCATGTTAACATTTATTTGTTAAAATGATACCATACCAAAAATCTTTTCCACTGTTGTGTTTGATAAACTAAAATGGGATGTTACCTATAATTGAATGAATCATCAATTGTGGGAATTGGCATTAATTTCCTTTGTTGTGACAAGTGATACCTGTGTGAGAGAGGTCTCAAGAAGAATACCAAATACTTCTAAGTTGTTAGTCATTGAAACGTAATAATGGTGGGGGAAGCTAGGGATTGTGAAAAAGTATGAGACTTACCTTGTTTAAAATTTAACTTCAAAGCTTCTTTCAATTAACCAGTGTAAAAGACTTAAACTAATAAAATGAACTCTGGTTATATTTCTGTTGGAAAAAGATTCCAGTTACTTTCTACCAATAACTATGTATGCTTTGGGACAGAAATAATATTTAGAATTCCTCAGGTACTTGGTATACTAAGGTCACATATTGTTTCTCAAAATATTTAGCCAAAAAGGGCAATACTAAAGTTTTAGGGATGTGGTGTTTCTTCCTTGACTTGGTTCTCCAGTATTATTAAAACATGAATTACTAAATTAACCTCGTATTAAGTAACACGGCTGTTAATATTTGCTTTTCTCTTCTGAGTTGGAGTATATATCTAGAAGACCATAAGGTGCTTGCTGCTGTGGTTGCCTTTGCTAAATCCTCTTCTTTCCTCTCCTTCAGTGACATGTAATCTTCTGTTGTCATTTGGAAATCACACATTGCTTGTCTTCAATCCTGTATTTTGCAGGGGCGTTCAGATGTTGGTGTAGCGGTGCTCTCTATCTGGTGTGAGGCTTTGTGATGTTTTCTTAGCTTCTGTACAAAGGCTGACTAGTACCAGGGTGATAATGAGGCTTTTTGCAATGTGTTAATTAAATTTTATAAATGCATGTTGAGTAAATCCAGTGGAACCGGTTTTTGAAGTAAAATACAAACACTACGCACTCAGACTTCCTCCATAAACAAATGATTGTGATTCATCTTGCAGTGTTTCATGAACTGTACGTTTCTTTCCTGGTTAGTTGTCTGTTCAGTGAGCACAGTTGGCTTGCACACTCTCCATTTCATGTTGTATACATTTCACGTATGTAACAGGTACTAAAATAATATATAAAATACTTTGCTATTTTCGTTTCTTCTTTGAAGATCCCTTTTAAGGCGATACTGAGATTCTCAAGAGTGAACAATTTGTTAAACACGAGGGTGGAGTTGATAAAACCGTACCAGCAGAGATGCATATTTTCATATTTGGCACTGGTGTTTCCTACTTGGTGGCAATCTACACATATTTACATACTGCAAAAGTAAATGAGTTATTGTGGTAGCTGTTGCTCTTTCTTGCTTTGACAGGAAGGAGTCGAGTCTCCGTGTCAGAGTTCAGTGACAGACTATACACACAGGTGTGGAGTGTTGCACACACAGCTTCTGCTCCAGCTGCCATTTTGTCATCTCGGATGAAGTCTGTTCAGACCTCCTTCACCTTTTTTGTTCCTGCTTATTGTGCTTTAAAATATTAACTGATAGTTAGAAAGGAGCATTTCCATTTGTCATTTATTTTTCAGGGTCAGTGTTTCAACATATTTTCTTTGAGCTGCATATGTGTTGTCCTTAGGACTTGTTTTGTACAGATCATACAAGAACTTGTGTGCGTCATGCTTTGTTTCACAAGGAGAGATCAGAGGGCCCTGTGGGTCAGCGTTGTGACAGGTACTGTACAGCCTGAACTCAGGGAAGGGATATTCTGGATTAGAGGAAGATGGATGTGCTGCCTGTGTCCCACTGAAGGTGTGTGTTTCTCTTCTGTGGAGCTGGAGCACTGAATAGTCTGGAGAGCTGTCTGTCACTAATGTTGGCCAGGAAAGGTCACCCATGCCATGAGGGAGCAGATCCTATTGACACACTAGATCTGGGAGGAAGAGAGCTGAAGTTCTGTATTTGTGGTGTGATGTGGCTGGCCTGGTGGTCTAGGAACACTTCCTGCATTTCATTAAATGCTATATATGAATTTGATACTCTTAACAGGCACTATAACAGCTGGATGAGCTCTCTTGCATAGTAATAGTATTGTTTTAAAGCAAGTGCCAGATGTAGAGGCTTATTGCCCACAGGCACTGATCTGTTCAGCTGCTAATATCAGCTTTCTACTCTCTTGTTCTGTCTGTAGCACAGCTTTTCCCCTTGCTCCTTCAGATGTTATCCACCTCAGCAAACTGGCACCTTGGCACTCTGAGGGCATGTTGTGGTGCTGATGGTCTCATTTAAGCTACAGTTAGATTTGCCCACCTTCCCTTCCCATAATAGCTGGGTTTACTGTGCTGTGTCATGTCCATAGAAATCTTCCCCGAGCTGCTTGGAAAAATCACTGTGCTTTTGGGATGTTCATAACAAATCTGCAAATTGTTGGATGGGCTGTGAGTTTAGCAGGATGGCTGCTCATTAGAGGTTTCAAATTAAAATGCTGACAAGCTGGAGCTGCTGCATTGCACCTGTTGTGTTGGTGTTGCTGCTGTTGCAGCTGCTGCCTCTGTCTGTGTTCCTCGCTGCAAAGTGTGCATCTTTTTAGGAGCTGAAGTTCTGGAGAACCTAACTGTAAGCACTTTGGAGCAGTGAATTGCCTTCCTGAAGTATAGCAACTACCAATGGTAATGGTCCATCAGGGCTTTGGAGCATTACTACTGTACATTTAATACATTTTAAACCAAATATATCTTAGGGAAATACAGATAATTTAAAGTTTCTGCTGCTTACTACAGGGTATTCAGGATTATCTGTTTGGGTCCATTTTCACATGTGTTGAAAGAACCATTTACATTTGCAGTCTAAAGAAGAGAGCCTTTTGCACTAATGAATGATGCTTTCTTTAATCATATTGCTCTCACTACGGTGCTTAAGCAAAAACCATTTCAGAGACATTTAATAGTTTAAAGGTTTTCAGGTTTCTGATTCCTATGCTAGCCTTAAAATTTTTCACTCTTTCTAGCATTTCCTATCATCCACAGGAAAGATTAAATATATTAGCATAGAGAAACTTGTAGTGTGTTCTGTAGATTTATTTTGAACCTGGTTGCCATCACGCTTTTCTGTACTAATATTCCCACCTGGAACAGCAGTGCTAACAAACCTTGCTTTTTTTAAAAAAAACACCTGTAAAAGCTGTCAAATTTCCTTTTTGTGAGTGATGCACGTACATGTCAAAAAGCGCAGTCACTGCCCAACATGTTGGCAGTCTAAGTAAAACAAGAAGCAAACCAGAAGGGGTGGAGAAGAGGGGACATACCTGTTTTTAGACATACCATCTGGTTTTAGATGAGACTCAGTAGATGGGTTTGGTATATTTTTTCAGGATTAGATTAGTGGCTGCTTTTTGGTGGTGGTGGTTGTCTTTTACGGGTTTGTAGCTTTGACCTGAGATGTGCCTTTGTTTAGAACCAGTTCAATAATCCTCAAAGCATTGAGATGTCCAGACAAAAAGGAATTTCATCTAGTTATTCTTTTGAGGAAAACATAACAAGAAAAGAGCGGAGTACAGGCATACAGCAGATCTTGTGCTGAATGCCAGTTAGGAACATCATACTCTTAACATGAAATTGGGGGATATAAGCAGGATGTTGGCTGCAAGATGTGAAAACTCTGGTAAGAGTAAGTAAACCTTTAGCTGGAGTGTCTGGTTCTCAATACTGCAGGTCAGAAAGGATGAGAGAGTCCAGCAGATCCAAAGGGAAATGTTGAGAATCTTCACACACTAGGGAAAAAAAAAAACAAACCAGGAAGGGTCTGGATAGGCAAATCTTGGTTTTTCTTGGAAAGGAGACTGATGTGACACGTGATGAGTCTTCAGGGAAGTAAATAGTTACTGTATAATAGAAAGGAACAAAGTTTTCTGTTTCCATTGTGCGTGGGGCAGAAAATACTAAGTAGTGGCAGAGGACATCTAAATCAGTAATTAAGAAGGGTTTTCCTTTCTAATATTGAGGCTAGTCAAGCACTGGAATAGATGGCTAAGGGTGGTTTTACAGTCCCCAGCATTAACAGTCATTTTTAAAAGAGCAGTTTGAAGAAGTAATGACTCTATTGATTGAGCCTTGGAAGAAGAAAAGATTAGTGTCTTCACATGGTTTCCTTCTGAATCTTTTTTCTAGATGTCTTTAAAAAAAAATGTGCTAAAGTAATACAGGAAGATTCTGGAAAAATAGCAAAATTTACACTGTGGTTTTGCAAAAATGTATTGGTTTGCATCCATTCCTATTTTCCTTCTCATTTGAAATATTTTGATAGTTTAGGTAATGTAAAATGTGTTGTGAGTTGAACTGTTGAACTGTGCATTATCCCCAATTTTTTTGTAAGTTTATTAGAAAGATCATACATATAAAAAGAAACTTGTATTTAAAAAAAATGCCTGCATTCAGGCAACTATTCAGTTTTGTAATTTCTCCAACAGTTCAAAAACATCTTTGATGTTTTTTATATCTTAAACTGAAACAATATCACTTTGGTGGCAGCCCAGACCATCATATGTGAGTTATAAATTTATAAATATGAAAATAATTTGAGATTTCAGAGAAGCAGTGCATTTATTTTACGTGGCAAAGTTATTACAATCCAAATCTGTCATTGGCTGGAAAAGCTAACAAAGGCTGAAAAATGCATGTGAATAATAAATCTTATCCATCTGGTGTTGTTTACGTCTTGCAACTGTATTGTACTGGTCATCACTTAGTCCACATGATCTGCATATGATTGTTCAAGGGTTTTTGTTTGTCTTGATTTGTAGATGACTTTGATGAGCTTGTGGTGAGTAACAATGATGTTGTGCTCAGAAATATCGCTGAAGATTTGCGGAATCGTTTACCCATCGAGGCAATGTTTACTTCAGAACATCAGGCTGTTCAGAAAGTAAGCTAATTGTTGTGGTCTGCTTTTGCTGAAGCACATCATTTATTCTGATAGCATTTTTAGCAGTAGTTCATAGTAGAGAATGAACATGGGTTGAAGTATAGGAAATCTCAGTTTGGTTCTCAGGTCTGTTGTTCTATGTTTGCATGACTCCAGGAAAGTTGCTTCATAGTTTTTAATACTTTGATCATATGTTATTTGGGATAGCTTTCATTCTGTGTGGTATGACACCTGTCACAGTGATTCTTCGGTGCTAGCTCCATAACTCTAACAGCCCCCTTAAAGACAACAGGAGCACAGGGCCAGTGTTTTGCTGTTGCCATAATGTGGGCAGCCCAGAGATGATATCCAGCTCTTTCAGATTCCTGTGGCTCAGAAACAGGTGGGCTGTGAGTTCTGTGGGAGGAGAGTGCACCTTTCCTATTTGACCTGTCAGTATACAAGGAATGTTAATGCATTTCCCAGAAAAGTGGTGTGTGGCTCTTCAGTGGGAGAAGTGGATTGGCCATATGCAGTAAGCCTGGAAAAGGGAGGAAAACTGAGTAGGAGGATGAAGATTATGCCCCTTGAAATGATGAGAAGGCAAGCATCCCAACTAGTATATTTTTGATTGAAAGTGACACCCATGTTAATTAGGGGTGCTTCTGGATAGAGGCATAAGGCACAATGATGAAAATAGTCAGTTGAGGCTGAGAAGCAGAATTGACATTTCTGCTAAATTTAAGTTACATTCTCCTCATTAAAAGAGGAGAAAAATCTTCCTTTGCCCTGTATGTTCTCTACAGCCAAGCAAGCACTGAAGAGACAAAATTCACATAGGGCTCCCTACTCAGATATCAAAACCAACTTGCTTTTGTTTGTCAACTACCACTTACTGGCTATCTCAGTGGAATTTGATGACCCAGTTTACGTACAGGATTTCTGTAGGTTTTTTTTTTTGTTTTTTTTTTTTTGGTTTTTTTTTTGTTTTGTTTTGTTTGTTTTGTTGGGTTTTTTGTTTGTTTGTTTTTGTTTTTGTAATTGTTGCATAGGGAAAAACATGGATCTTGGGGGTTTTGGGAAAGGTAGGATGGTGGGACAATTAACGTGTGATTTCACGGTGTAAGTGAAGTTAAGAGACTTGGTTATGCCTTTCTAAGGTTTTGTTCCTCTTCTCAGATACACCAGCATCCACTGCCCGTGATTCATGTTGATGCATTCCTTTATGATGATGATGTTGTTGATTCATTGTGTGAGGAGGGGAAAATGAGTAGGAGCTACTGCACAGAGTGTGGTTCATACAAAACTGCATCTTTAGGTAAGTGTTCTTTCGGGAACATGAGAAACAAATTGAGTTTAACTAAACTGGTTTGTGCAGTGACTCAGCTGGACATGACAACATCCAGCTGATGGGGGACTTTGTCCAGTCTGCTGCAATATACAGGCCAAAATTATTTCCCATAACCAATGGAAGGAGCCTCCTACACATGTAAGTTGAATTAATTTGCAGTGTATGAGTGACAATTGTTGCCCACAAAAACTGGGCAGGTAAGAGGCTAGCTATGTATCACTGGAGAGGAAGATGCAAGAGGAAGACAATACTGTAGAGTCCATGCAGTAGCCTGGGTCTCCTCTCACATGCCAAAAAACAGTAGAAAGCACCATCTGTCTTAAAGCTTGTGTATGGTGTGGTACAGATAAATGCTGCTGCCAGTAGAGCACAGCCATTGAAGGAATGGTTTATTTGGAGAACGTTCCATTCATTAAAACTTTGGAGTTGAAATTAAAGTTATTAATATGTCTGCCCATAAAAAGTTTTGCACAAATTGTGTTTACTACGTTTCCTTTTTCAGTTAAACAGTTCCAAGTTACTTTGTTTTGTATTCTTTAACATACATTACTGTGCAGAAAAAGGTAATTCAGTTTCATGAAGGATTTCAAAATTCTCCATGTAAGGCAAGGAATCCTCAGACTTGGGACAGGCTGCTTGGCTGATTACCTCTGATTTGCAAACCCTGCCCTAGTGCACTAGTGCAGGCAAGAAACCACACAAGTTTTCAGTGAAGATAATTCTTCAGGTTACTATTTCAATGGTTAATTACACAGTAGTTAGTACTGCCCACCCAACACCTTTGTTCTGTTCTTATTTCCCAGAGTTTATTTCGCATTCCTTTTCCCTCATGGAACTGAAGTTTCTTTATCACCATGTACTGCCTGACCTGACAGGAAAGGTAGTGGTTGACGTTGGCTCCAGGCTTGGTGCAGTGCTATTTGCGGTAACTTCCAGCACAGGAATTCATATTTTATTACTGTGACAAACATTTTCCCTCTTTTCTGACTGCCTACTCTCATTACTCAATATTGGATGGGTCATTCTGAGAGGCACCTCTGATCTGACTCTCTGAATAGTGTAAAGTGCTGTTTACTAGCAATTTCAGTTCTTCTTCTGTTCCTCACAAGAGGGACTACAAATGATCTTTCTTATGGAGAGGAAAAGTCTGTTGTCCAACAGAGTAGCATATTGCTGTCACACATGCTGCTCTTTTGCTCGTTCCTGCTGTCTCTTTCATAAGCGAGTTTGTCCTCTTATGTCTTGACCATGCCTATATATAGATTAGTTATGTTAAATTCCTTTATGAAGCTGATAAACTGTTAAAATATACAAAGGAAGACTTTGATATGAATTTGTCTCCAAAAACATATTGTCCTGCTCTGCATTTTAAAATGCACATAAAATACTTCTTCGAGAAACTTGAGTGCAATTTTGATTGCTTTTGGCATGGCTGGTACAACATATGGCCAACAGCAATGCAAAACACACATTACTACTTTCTTAAAAAAGTCAATGTGTGTTTAGGGCTCAATCTTGCAAACACTTGAGCATGTGATTTTACGCATTTGAATAGTCTAATTTTGGGATCACTCAAATGAGGAAAGTTACTCCCATTTGTAAATATTTGCAGCATTGGGTCCTTAAATGGTAGCACTTCGGCTAGGCTGAATTTTTTTTTGAAGTATTTAAATGCTTGTATTATTATTATAGTAGAAGATACTTTCAAAGCACTCTTTCAAAAAAGAGTTCTGCTTTGTAATATGGTCTTGCCTTGGAGGAGGGGTGACTTCACAGGTTGCTTTTCTACTCTCTGAGTTGAATGGTTTCAGAAAACCTTAATAATGAAGTTGTAATACATGTGGATCTCAGATATTCTGTATCTTCAGCATTGTTTGTCTTTGCCATTGTTGGCAAAGTGTAATTATTGTGCTCAATGGAGACAGTGGCACTTGAAGCAGTATCTTTGTTAGGGCACTGTTTGCTCAAGTATTTGTACTTTTTTTCTTAACATTTCCAACAGCTTCCCAAAATCTTAGTCCAAAACTGAACTATTTTTTGGGCTTAATATTAAGTCATAATTTAGCTTTTTTTTTTTTTTTTTTTGCATATATATCTGTGTGAAGCATCTGAAAATGTCAGTAATACAGTAACTTAGAGAAGCTGACAAAGACTTGATATCAAAATATCCCACTATATTATTGGTATATTGTCCTCCATTTTCAGTCATTTTCACTCTGTTATGTCTCATGTTTTTGTTCTTTTCTCTTGATATATTCTTCTTCAGTTCTCCCAAGGATCAAAAATGACATGTAGAGTCTTTTTCCTTCACACTATTTTCGTAATTTGTTTTGTACACCTTTTTTCTTTCTTAGACTATTTTCCATCTGTTTTGCAGTTCAAGTGAACTTGGAGCTTTCCTTTTCTTGTTATTTTGATGTGTCATTTTGGATCTCTTGCTAACATTTGTGAGGCTTAAGTAGGAATTGCCAAATCAGGAGCTTAGCTCTGAAAAATATTTCACATCCACTGAAAGACATTTCTCAACTCATTGTTTTAAAATGTTTCTTTAATCTTAACTCGTGTTTAATTCTCTTCTTTTTAAATGAAAATTTTGAACTTGTTTTAAACGCATCACAGTTACTAAATTTCCTTTTCCTAATGTAGGGTTATCTTTATAGCTCAGCTTCCCAGCTGTATGGAGTAGAAATGAATGCAGACTTCTGCCAGTTGCAAGAAATGATGATTACAAAGTACGAGTTCATTGACAGAATAAAGGTAACTTAAATATATATTTTAGTTTTTGTATTTTTAACCACTGTGTACAAGGTATCTGGTTTAAGTGAGTGGCTGGTAAATCAGCATTCTGAGAAGTATCTGCCTTTGCTTGTTTTGATCCTAAACAAAGGCTTTGCATTAGGAAAAAAAGACCTTATAGTAAAGAGGAAGAGGGAAAGTATCAAAATATTAATCATTTAGCCTTTTTCGTGACTGGACTTACCCATTGGCTCATACAAAACAGATAAATCTTAGCTGATTCTCCTAGGGAAATCAGTGACATCATTGCCACTCACTTTTGTGAAACAGAGTGTATAAAGAATTTCTGTCACAAACACAAAAGTAAATGTCTGTGATTCACTTTTGTTAGCAGAAAAATGTTTGTAGGATTTGCAAATTTTCATCTAATGATACTTAAAGGACTTAAAATTATTCATATTTCCTTTCATAGAATCTCAGTGTATATGTACCTTCCACAAAAATAACGGTTTCTAACAAAATGCTATCATTATGGGAATCATTTCCCTAGTTTCATTATGGGAATAGCTACTAATATTTTAAAGAGGAAAAATAAATTCCTTTCTGGACCAGACCCATTATTTTGTTACCAGCAAAAGTTGGTAAATAGAATATGCTAAGTAGAATACTGGCTTTAATCCTGTGTTGTATGCATGTGCTCTTGAATGGAGTCACATGAAGTGCTGAGTATGGTAATTTCTTGGGTATTAAGGTAACCTCATTTTAACCTAGAAAGAAATAATAAACATATTTAATATTTAACACAGGGTAAGCAGTACCATTGGGTTGCTCAATTCAGTCGCAGTTGCTGACAGTTTATCCATAACCTTTGGGTTTTGCTTGTGTTTTGTGTTCATAACACTTTACTGTGATGAAACTGAAAGTACAGTTAGGAGCTCTGTCAGTTCAGTGGAGTTGGAGATCTATAAGCATGCTTTTCAGCCCTGTATATTTTTTATTGTAAGCTTTTATGTATTTTCTTCACACCTTGTAATTCTGCTGAAGTATTCATTTTGGAGCATAAAGATAAGATAATAGGTTTTCAAAGCAGTGCCGGAGGACTTAGCTATTTGAGTCTCATTAAATGCTAATTTAGTCATGTGACTCCTGTTATCACACTGCTTTGAACATTTCAATCTTATATTTTTATTTCACCCCCAAATGAGTTCTCTCTAGAGGTACATATCAGGTTGAAAAATTGTGAGAATCCAGATGCTGGTCATAATTCATGACACAAGTTTGAAAAACGTTCTAGAGACTCTTCCTAAATAGAGATTGTTTTTTTCAAGATATTCTGAATTTTTATTAGAATATGTTCCTAAAGGATAGCAAAGTGAAATGGTACCTTTAGTGGCTAAATCTTTGAGCGAACCTTGTGTTTCTTTGGTCAACACTTGGTTTGTTAAAGTACATAGAAGGTTGCTCAGCATCTTTTGCCATTTGAGGAAACATTTAGCTACTGGGAGGAAAGTAAACAGTTGAACAGATCTTAGGAAACTTGAGACTTCAATTCAGAAATTGACTGTAGTCATGAAAGGCTTGGTGTGTATTTCACTGGATGACAGGGCAGTTTTAAAATCAGTTGCTGCCTCCTCTGTTGTGCCGGCACACAGCCAGTCAGATCAGAGAATGGATTCAGCTGAAACCAAACCCAGCAATACTGGAGTTTTGACTAGAGCAGTATCTGAGTCTGGCTCATTGTGCAGCCAGACATGCTTATGTGGTCCCAAATTCCCCAAGAGGAGTGAGGATATGTTTGGGGAGAATGAGGTGCTTAGGTCACTTTGGTCAGCATGGTCACTGACTCTGTAAATGCAGAGTAATTTTAGGTCAAGTCTTAAGCATCATTCAAGTCAAGGAAACATCAACATAAACTTTCCAGTAGTTTAAGCATCTTTCTGAGTTGTGGTTTAAAATATTAGGACTGCCATTAGTATCCTGTCCTGTGCATGGGGTTATTCTTCCCCAGGTGTAGGACCCTGCATTTGCATTTGCTGAATTTCAGAAGGTTCCTCTCTGCCCATCCCTCCATAGTATCAGCCACACCTCCCAGCTTTGTGTCATCAGTGAACTTGCTGAGGAGGCATCTCCCCTTCATCCAAGTCATTTGTGGATAAATTAAACAATACTGGACTCAGTACTGAGCCTTGGGGGACACCAGTAGTGACAGGCCTCCAACTAGACCCTGTGCCACTGTTTAGGACCCTCTGGGATCTGTCATTCAGTCATTTCTCAGTCCTCACTGTCCACTCATCCAACCCTCATACCCTGCGTTTGCCTCTGAGGATGTTGTGAGAAACAGAATTGAGAGCCTTCTTGAAGTCAAAGTAGACAAAATCCTCTGATCTCCCCTCATCCATGCAGGTAGTTGGTTCATCACAGAAGTCAATCAGATTGGTTAAGCAGGACTTCAGTGAATCCATGCTGACTACTACTTATCCCTTCAAAAGATATTCCAGTTTACATTTCTCATCAGATCTGGGATGCATAATAATAGAATATCCTGAGTTGAAAAGGACCCGCATGGATCATTGTGTAAGACAATAAGATTTCTCTGTCTTAGGAGGAAATCAAACACATCAGATTGTTAATGAGCATCCATATTTTCCTGTCTCGCTTGTTTTGAAAAATGACATGATGTGCTAATATCCTTTTTGGTAGGTGAAGGTAGATGAAATCAAAACAGCTCCTCTTGTGCTGACTGGAGAGGCAGTTGTTTAGTAGGATCCTCCAGTGCTACTGAGAATCCTGCCTTTCCAACATTCCCAGTCCCAATATCCATTGTGAGAATTCAGCTGTCAAATCTGGATCTGTAGTGTCTTTTCTAGCTATAATCCTTCAGTAACCCACTGACCCTGTGAGATGCCTTTTATTATCCTCAAAATAGCTTCAACTAGCTTAACTTCTTTCCTGAAATCACTGGACATTCGTGATAAAATACAGGGAAGTTAAATGTAACAGCCATCGCATACACCATCTTCTCTTTTATGGCACGCAGTTCTAAACCAAAATTCAGATGTACTTTATTTTACTTAGCATAATGGATTAAGTATCTTAATTAGAAGTTAAACCTGATTTTTTAAAAAAAATTTTTGAAAGGTTATTATGATTCTGTATGTCAGTTTTATCTACTGTAAAGCCAGTGAAATACCTGTTTTTGTGACTGGTTCAAAAGGGTGGTAGCAGCTGCTGTATTAGGCTAACAGGCTTCATGACTTCTCAAAGGCTGTATTTGTCTCTTAATTTATGCCTTGGGAAATTTCTCTCCTTCAGGTGGTTCATGCAGACATCTGTACTCAGCCCTCACTTCTGCAGAAGGCTGATGTTGTTGTAATGAATAATGTCTTTGAATATTTTCTTGACAGACAGGAACAGGCCAGGTAAGCTCTGTGTCCAAACAAGTTACCTATTTCTTTAGCAATATCTGCATAACCTTGTGAATAATAGAAAACCTTAAGGTTGTGCTTTTTGAAGGCATATACATAATTTATATAAGGAAATTGTTTTATACCGTCTACTTCTAATTGTTATACTTAACTGCTAAGGTGTTCTGACAGTTGTTTATTGTTAAACCCACTAAACACTGCTGCTTTGTTTACACAAACCCTGGCTTGCATCCTTGCACTGATATGTTAAAATAGTATCTTGCTGCTAAAGAATCTGGGATTACTGTATCAGCATAAAGCTTAATCTTCAGAAGTAAGAGTCACTGTCTCGTTGATGTCAGAGCTTTAATATATACAGACTACAAAGCATGGTTATGAATGATATTTCTAATAGATATTTGTAAGGATGTGGTAGCAAACAAACATGTGGCTAAGGTTCTCTTTCAGGTACAAGGCACTCACAGATGATCTTTTGCTAATCCAGCAGCATCCGTTTAAAGTGTAAATAACTTGATCATCGTAAGTTTAGAATGGGCAGTCAGAAAAAAGGAGTACCTGTGTCTCCACTTGGTCCCAGCCAAGTCTGTCATTCTGTACCAGCTTCAGCTGAGGCTTGCCCTGCTGCCCTGGATACCAGGTGATAATACCAACCAGCGAGGCACAGAGTGGATGGGTGACAGATAGTGGGTGTTTCAAAATGCCAGGAGATATATTTCCAGGCACAGGACTGAGAATTCATTTGATTCTGTCATAACTTGGGAATAGTGGTTTAGTGTTGCATTACTAGCATGAAGACGAATGACATTTGAAGAATGCTGGAAATTAAATTCTTTTTAGTCTGAATTGCTGTGCTGTGAGAAATGATCTTACTTGCAAAACAAAAAAAAAAAAAAAAAAAAGGGAATGCTGGGGGCTATATTTAAGTACTCTGATTACTAATGTCTTAAGAGAAGTACTTTGTCACGACTGTACATGAAGTATGTATGTAAAGAGAAGCTTGCTGTGAAGCTTAATAAAGGACTGCACTTCAGGACTGGATTTTCTTCAAAGCAAAGGGGCCAAATATCAATGTTTAATCTTTGTTCATAGTGAAAGTCTTGACAATACCAAATTATATGCATGTATGTATGAGAATTATAAAATTACAAAATCTAACATTGTGAGGCCATGTATTCCCTGTGTTTTTAATACAAAGCTTGGTTTTATTCCTGCAAATACATTTGCTTAGATATTAATAATGACTGATAAGCATGTATTGCAAGTCTTTAAGCTTAGTCTACCACTGGCCAATAAACTGCAAGCGTTAGATTCATTGTATGTCAAATATGTGTGGTTTTTCCCCAAAAAACTGGTCACCTACCTTTAAATATGTTTCAGAGCTTGGAAATTTGTTGCTTGTAATGTAAGGAAAAGAGGGTCCTTATTAGTGACAGTTCCAAGTCTTGAGGAATCACTTTCAAAGCTCCAGGTAAGTTCCCTCGGCCTGTTTTAGCTGACACATTTTTTATTTTCTGTTAAAGCAGCATTTCTGTAGTTGAAGTTAGCTGCTTGCCAGTATTGCTGTAAGGAAGGATATATAATTTTGTGCAGAGGTTAAAAGGTGGAAGACTCAGGATTCTCTTTTGAGGTTGACCACCAGCACAATCTCCCTGTACTTCAATTGTCCTCATGTGAAAAGGAAAATCCCAGCCTCTATCAGCAGGCTGCATGAATCACTGTATTAACATGTGTATTAATATGGCAGTATGAGCTTTTGGAAGTACAGATTAGTGAGAGATATGGTCTCCCAACTAGCCAAGTGACTACCATCAGGCGTCTTGAATCAGTTACTTAGCTTTAAATTGCAGTTGGAAGCAAACATAAGGACAGTGCATCTTTCAAAGATGCTGAATTCTCTGTGCTGCTCCCAATGGGCCACGCTCTGCCCTCCGTCCGTTCTGCCATCGGTCATCAGTAGATCATGTGTGTGATACCTGGTCAAATTATGTGGTCTAGCTTTAGTTAGGAGACAAGATACTGATCAGACTTACGTATAAACTTTCTCGCAACAGTAGTTAGTTTTAGAGAGATTGAATCACTTGTTGCCTGTGGGTGAAGTAGATCCTCAGGCCCAAGAGCAGCAGTGGTGTCATTTGAACTTTTCTTGGAGCCGGCTGTAGTCACAGAGCAGCTGAGAAGCCCTTTGTAGCCTTGATACAACACTCCCTGGGTGTAAAAGAAGAAAATACCTGTGATTCTTCCATGATACTGTTAGCTGCTCCCTCAGCACGTGTCACTCAGAGAATGTCACCCTCTGAATTAGGATGCTTGAGGCTTACACAAATGCATAAAGAAAGGCAGTTGTAATATGCTAACAAAATATCTAGACTATTGACTAGATAATTTTTAAAGTTACCTCTATTATCTCCTATTTGAGTTAAAATGGCTTTTCCAGAAATTAATTTATCATTGCCATATAATTTGGAATGACTAATCTCTCATATTATGTCTTGCCTTCTTAATGTTGAAACTCCTTAACCTTGAAACTCCTGCTGTTTCTTAACATGGTGTTGATTTAAGAATCTGCTTTCATTGTTTCAGACAGATGTACAGCTCAGTCAATGGGTTGAAGAGGTGCAGCTGAACTATGATGTATATATAGAAAAGGATGTTGACAGAGAAGCACTCGAACAGATTCATTTATACAAGATTCTCTAGTACCTGGAAAATTTACTGATATCCTTATGATATATATTTTGGGCCTAAAATGAACTTGGATGGATTTGTGTGAATAAATCAGGTCAAAATTCATATTGTGGTTAATTTGAGTGATATATGTGGTTTTTAATGGAAAAGAGTATTTTAAAACAGGTTTTAAAAGGTTTTTAAGGTTTTTAAGGTTTTCTTACTGAGGCATTTTGTCTCAACAGGGTATTTTGACTTTTGACTTAGGAGATATCCTCATGATTTATTTTTTGCAGAAATGTTAAAAAGAGCGTCTATATAGTAATGCTAAAAGAACTTCTGGTCATCAGTAGCATTGTGCACTACCAATGTTTGCTAAATATATCAAACCTAAAAATAGTGAATTCTTATTGATGTGATTGATAAGAATGCATTTAGCATAATGTTACGTAAAAGCTGTAGTGCTGTTTCATTTTGATATAAAGCATTTATTCTTATCATTAACAATATTTATTAACAGCATCATCTTTGGTGTTCCTCCTATGGAATTTTTAGGTTTTCTCTCCAGGTTCTGCTTGATAACCAGATTATCTATTGGCATATGTTATGAGAGAGGCAAGTTCATCCATTTAGTTAGTTGTCCTTAAGGTGGATATTAACATAAAATACTGAAGGACACCGAGGAGCCATGGAGAATTAATACAGCAAATCCAGGATGATGAAACTCTTTCCCTGCACTTCTTCTGTGGATGGTAGGAAGTGTAATAAGGGGTTAAGAAGCTGAAAATTCTGAACAGGTGTCATGGCTTAGCAGAGGCTTGGTGGTGGCGTAAAACAGTGGAAATTCGTAACAGAGCCTCCTCAGAGAGAAAAGATCCACATACGCCCACCACATTTATATTTAGATTTTACGTTCTAAGGATGTAAAGCTTTTACTCAGCTGAAGAATGTTTCAGGTTTTAGCAAACATTAACAATCCCAAGTGCAAAAGTATTAAAACTTCAGGAGTTTTGGACTAAGCGTGTTGTGAATTTAGAAGCATTGTTAAAAAGTTTGCTGCACAACTTATGTCTAGTGTAAATGGAAAAACATTGCATTGGATTTCAGTCTTCAAATGATGTACAGGTTTGTGACTTTGATAATACATGCTGTGAGCAAAAAGGATCAGTGGCCTATAGGCACTCACCAATTAAGTAAATAAATGGGACTGTAGAAGGGATAGTGAGTTTTAAGAAGTCTTACTTTCATGTCCTGTTCAGAGTGGAAGAGGATGTTTTAACTTGAGTGATACTGAACTGCTGCTCAAATACTGTGTTGAATCTATTCTTCATGTGTTTAAAAATGTAAAAAGATGGAAAGCTTTTCTTAAAACATTTATTTTATTGGTTACTTCGTTGTCAGTGAGACAAGTGCCCCTAGAAAAGAAGCCTAGGAGAGGCTAAGCAACAGCATGGAGGGGTAATGCAAGGCTAACAGATCTAATAAGGAGAGAATAAAAATGAAGAAAAGAAATGCATGCGCAATTCAGAATGGGGAAATGAGCACTGTAGTAATCAGTACAGTGGAAGCTGTGACTGAATTGGAGTATATAAATAGGCTGCTATAAAAGGAAGACTGAATGGGTCATAAAAAGCTACTTCATAACCTTACTACCATGTGAGAAGAAAACACCATGCTGGAATGTTTTTTACTTTTTCTAGAGTTCCTGAAAGATCTCTCAAATCAATTGTCAGGACTTGGGGCTCATGGTACTGAGTATGATCTGTGCCCTGCACCTTGTTTTGGTAATATGGGAACTACAACTTTCATTGCAGTTGTTTCCCCTCTTCATGCTGAGTCTTCAAATACTTTTTTGGGGTGTTGATCTCAGATTTAAAAAATTCAATAGACTGGAGCAGATCACCAGCATATTTAATGACATCTGTATCCTCTGACTGAAAATAGCATGCACGCATCTGGAGCTCATATGCAGCAGAGGGTGCAAAAGGGAAGCTCCCCCTGTCTTTTTTAGACATCAGGACAAACTCAAGAGGTGAGTTCAAGCTGCTGAAATGTGTGTTTTCCTCTCCTGACCTTGATGGGTCCTCAGTTAAAATCCTCACATTGACACGTTCACTGAGAAGAGGTGGTGGTAATTCAGTTCGGTTTTATCAAACTCGTGTTAAGAGACATATCTCCTCTGTCCTTTTAGAAACCTCTTCCTAACTTGACTTCATATGGCCAGAGATCACAGGGCCATTCTTTAGGATGTTATGAGCTGCCTAACTCACCTACTGAAGGGCTAGAAACAACTAGTGCATCAAGAAGGTAGTAATTGTTTCTTTTCCAGCTGGCCCCTTTCAGTCCTGTTATACATTCCCACACACAAGGGTGGCAAAGGTAAATGGTGATGTAGTTTGCAAAACCTCGTGTGAAAGGAGGCAAATCAGTCCTCCCTGTGCAGGCTCAGAAGACCTCAGACATCAGCTGAAATTCTCCCAAGAGTGTGTGTATTGCCTCAACTAAGGTTTTGCTTGTTCAGCTTGAGGAAGCTGCCAGAGTATATTCAGCATGTTGAGTCCTTGTCCTTAGTTCTGCTACTGCTGAATTGCATGGTATTTGGCCAGTGATTGAACTTTTCTCCTCCTTGGTGTCTGCAGTGAAAATAAGAACAACAAATCCAAAATCAGAGCAAGGTTGTGAATTAATTGAATATCAGTTGCTTTGAGATTGTCATATAAAAAATGTTAAACAGCAGAGCTCTTCTTTGTAAAGTGACCTAATTAAAAAAACCTGAAAGGCAAAGATAATACCAGTACCTCTCTGCGATACTTTCTGGCTCTTTCCTTCACCTGACAGCATTGAAAAGGAAGCACAGATTAGCCACAGTACAGTGTTGAAAATGCATAAATAATTGTTTCCTAGAACTCTGTTTTTACACTGCCCTTGCTGTTAGCTGGCCCCTGGTATTGGGAGGAAGGGAGAGGGGAGTATCTGGTACCCAGATTTTTGGGCCTGCGTGCAGGGCAGCCCTGTGACAGCTGCTGGAGATGTCATGGTGGCTGCCACAAGCTGCCAGCCCGAGCTGCTGGCTGCCCTGCACAGCTCTGGGGCTGCACAGCTGGTATGTGCTGCCACTGCCTGTGAAACACAGCTCTGTATGGCCTGACAGAGGTCCCAACCCATGCTACAGCAGCAGTACACTCTGGTCATGAACAGCTTGTAAATCACAAGATTTCACTTTTGTGGGCCTGAATTAGAAAAAAATAATGAGGGAGATGCATATCTGCAGCACTTAAAATCGCCAGAAGTTTCTGTCACACATGAAAGGCAGCTCTGCTATTCCCCAGTAGCATAACTTCCCATGCAGTACCCTGGTTTCTGCAGAAAGAGCCATCTGAAATTTGAATCCATCAAGAACTAGTAGTAGTAGTAGTAAAAGAAGTACTCCGTAGTAGTAAAAGAAGAAAAAAAATTAAAATATTCTGGATCCAGTGTAGTAGCACAAAAAAAATGTCTAGCTATAAGAATTATAGATTCACTTTGCAGACAGGAAATGTTGCAAATATCTTTACTTGAAACTGTTTTCAAAAAAATCACCAAATGCCTTGTGAGAACAGCCTTGGCTTTCAAAGGTGTGTCATTTTCCATGTGCCTTTTTTCACAGTAAGCAATATTGGAAGGGGCTAATGGGCCATGCTGAGGAACACTTGACAGTGGAGCAAGCTTGAAAAAACCCAAATCCAGCTCCTTCATTCCTCACCATCTGTATCCTCCTCTCTTTCCTAGGTTTCTCCTGTCTCTTGTCTCTTCTCAGCTGTCTTTTCTCTTGCTGCTGCCAGTGCCAGGACCAGCCCATGGTGCAGCAGGAGCTGTGCCTGAGTGTGGCTGCAGCCTGCACATTTTCTCTGTTACTGGAAGGCAATAATAGAAAATGTGACTGGTAACTTCAGCTGAGCAGCTTTTAGGGTTCGCTGCAGGCTGGAATAATGACAGAAACATTTTTAAGAGGTTGCTTTGTACTCTTCAGGAATTCCTGGTGGGGACTCCAGTGAAAAGAGCAGACCCTGCTCCATCTCATCTCTGAGACCTCACAACAGACTCAGGCTCTGGCTGCCCCCTGCCCACCGTGGTAAAGCAGGAGTTGACATGCACAATGCCAGTACTCTTTGCCAGCATTTTAACAAATGGCCTCTCATATGCCCTTGGGCTGTCACAAGCCCTCTGCTGTAGAGGGAGTTGTATTTGTAGAAATAAGTGGGAGAAGAAGGCAGTGCTGCTTTTCCAACAAATGCATGTTAAATGCTCCTAGAAATGTCTATACTTCCACTCATTCATTATTTGAGAGCAGATTAATGAGACACTGTGTTTTGGGGAAGGGAGATGGAACATCATGCTTAAGTGCACATGTTTTTTAAATTCCTTCACAGAAACACAGTGCAGCTTGTATATCTTTAAAAACTGACATGTTTGTGTCACCCTAGGGGTGAGTCTTTTCCAACAGGAACAAGGTAGCAGTATGCTGGAAGGCTTAGTTAGAACTGATCACCTCCAGTATCCCTTGTAGCTTGTAATGTAGGAGTTCTCTATGTGAACACATGCTGGAGTTATTCCCCATCCAACAAAGAGATATTAAAACCCCAAACCCAGAAGTTCACTATTAGTTGTAAGTCTTTTGTACTAAGCATTTGCTTCCCCCCTTTTTGTCTGCTGCATGACCTGTGTGATGTCCCAGATCCTTTGGCAGTTGTGGTATTACTTTACCTGGAGACCCTGTCTGGGGGATTTTTGCATTCATGCTTCTCTGCAGACTCCCCTCCTTCCACGTGGTGGGACAGAAGAAGAAAACAGTTTTCATTCTTCATCACAGGGTGCATCAGAGGTCCAGGTTCTTCTGATATGCCCCTCTCTCTGTGAACGTGGCTGTGATGGTTTACTTTCCATCAAGCCCCACCAAACACCTATGGGGCAGGTGGGGGAGAGGGAAGGTTCTGCATCTTTGCTCAGCTGTGCTTCCAGGGGTTTACCCAAGCAGGGAAGGCAGCCAGCCAAAACTGTCAGCCTTAGCTGGAAATAGCAAGAATAGACAAAGTTGGCAGGAGATTTCATGCCAAAATTTGAAGAACAATAATTTACCAGAGTTGCTA